CACAGCACCCTGTTCCCACCCCAGAGTCCCTCCGCTCTCTCCCTCTAGGCCTTGAGGTCCTACATGCAGAAGGAGATGGCATCATCAAGGACTCACCACACGGCGGTTGACCTGGTCCGGACGCCCGTCCTGCGCCGCATCTCTTGTTGTCTCTGCTTCGTGTGGTACGCTCGGCCGTGGAGGACATCAGTGGGTTGGTCGTCCAGGCGTTGACCCATCCAGCCTGCTACTCACCCCTCCTCAGACACCCACCTTAGCTGGAAAGGGAAACTGAGTCACAGTGCAGGACTCGGTCAATGGAAGTCTCTTGGCCCACACGTGCTCCAGGAAGGGACACGGATCTCCTGGTTGGATCCCACAAGCCAGGGGATGGTGTGTGACCCCACCCCCCCCTCCAGTTGCCACCCTTCACCTCTTCTTGGCCTAGGTTCTCCACCAGCTTCGCCTACTACGGGCTGGCCATGGACCTGCAAAACTTTGACTTCAACATCTACGTGATCCAGCTCGTCTTTGGGGCCGTGGACATCCCGGCCAAGCTGGTCTCCATCCTCACCATCACCTTCGTGGGGCGACGCTTCACCCAGTCTGTTGCCCTCCTCCTGGCTGGCTTGGCTATCTTGACCAACATCTTGGTGCCACGAGGTGAGGGCTGGGGGTGGTGGCAGTGGCGTCCCCTTCATCTCCAGCCCATAAGGTACCACCTGGGAGGGCCAAAACAAGCTCAACCCCTTGAGGCAACTCACAGGCAGAGGGATTTTAGCTTTTTATGAGCGATTTGCCCAAAATCCTGGTGTTTCGGGGGGGTCTCCTCTCTGCATCACCCACCCCAACTCCAACCAGTGCCACCAAAGTGAGCCCCAGACGTCTCATCTCAACCCCCACAGACCTGCGGATGCTTCGGACCGCCCTGGCCGTCTTCGGGAAGGGTTGCTTGGCCGCGTCCTTCAACTGCGTCTTCCTCTACACGGGTGAGCTCTACCCCACCGTTATTCGGTAAGGAGCGGGGTGCAGGTTCGGGGGGAAGCGATGAGGTGGCTGTGACTACGCAGGTGGGTCCCTCAGGGCCTCTCGGTGTCCCACAGGCAGACGGGCATGGGGTTGGCCAACACCATGTCCCGTCTGGGCAGCATCATGGCCCCCTTGGTGAAGATGGCGGGTGAGGCGTTCCCCGCGTTGCCCTTCATCATCTACGGGGCAGCCCCCGTGGTGTCGGGGCTGGTGGCCATCTTCCTGCCGGAGACACGGGACACGGCACTGCCCGAGACCGTGGAGGAGGTGGAGGGCAGGTGGGATTGGAGGGACTGAAGGGCGAGATGGACGGGGGAGGCCACAGGGAGGGATGGTGGGAGAGAAGGATTGGTTGGACACGGGGATGGAGAGGTGGGGGGTCAGTTACGTGTGGGGATGGGCGGGCAGGAGTGG